GTGGAAGATTAAGCTTGGAAGACTTGGCTTATGATTTGCTTATGAGGGATTTATAACCAAAGCAATTATATATAGGCACTGATTCAGTGTGCACAGGTTGTTTAAACATGTTTACTTGGGTTCTAGTTGTATGCACTTGGCTGTTAGCTCATGTATAGTTCATCTCCTTATAGTAGAATGAAAACGAATGTTGTGGGACCTTGAAACATCTTTCCCCGTCATTGGTTTCCTTCAGGTGTTTTACTGTAATTCTCATCAGCTCCAGACAGCTGGGCCAGTGTCAGGCATTCCAGGAAATGCCCTCCTCCAAAGCATTTGGAGGGCACCATGTCGGAAAAGGCTGTTTTAAAGGCTAACAAATATATTGTCATACGCTTTTGTCTGCTAGAATCATCGGATGGATGAAACATATCCTTGTAGCATCTTGGGTTCAATGTTTCATTTGTTTCCTCATATGCATGTGGATTGTCAGAGTGCCCTTGCATTCCCTGTGTTTACATTGGGTTCTAGTCCACATAAGCCATGAGGAATCATATAGTTTTTAGGGTGCTACAAAGCTCAAATCTGGGTGTTCCAGGCTAACTCTACTTTGGAATATACTGGAATGCTGGTATTCCTTCCAGAGCCACCTCCTTTCTACAAGCACATTAGTTTTCTTTGGGGCTGCCCAGAACCTTAAGCAATGCCTCGTGATTCCTATGGGAATCTTGATTTTCTTTCCCAAATGTGTTCATTTTGTTGATTAAGGTGTTATCTGTCTTGCAAGAAATTGCAGCTAGTTCTCTGTTCCCTTTCCTCTCCTTGAGGAGGTGGAGAGTTTAATTTGATCTGCAGAATCTTCTTCTAATCTCTTGCTGTAGGTTTCAAATCTCATATTTTGCCAGGAAATGGCAAATAAAAGGCCTTTGTTCCCTCTAAGGACTTTTATCCTACTGACCTGTAGGAAACTGCTCTCTTCCTCCAAGGAAGAGGCTTAAGAGACTCCAGCAAATTTTTGTTAGAACATGACCTTCCTCTCTGGTCTGAAGCAACTCTTCTTAATGTGGGCAGGGATCCAGCGACCTGATGTGTGAAGGAAAGCTTCATCTTGCCTTGGGTTGCAAGTGCCTGCCTCAGCCCCCAGAGGCTTCTCTGTGCTGTTGGAGCAAAAGTGCCTGTAGATCTGCTTTCAGTGTTTGCCTTCCCTAGGAGTCTGGGCAGTCAAAACAACTTGCCAAATGTCAGCAGCATATGCAAAGCAGCCTGCCCCTACCTGGTGTTTGGTAGGAGTGTTGAACTACAATTCTCAGGAGCCAGAGGTGATGGATGTTGTAGTCTAGAACATCTAGAAAGTCCCAGATTGCCTACTTCTGGTCTTAATTCCTTATTTAAAGTGTCTCTAGTCCCTGTCCTGACATCTCTCGGTTGTTGTATACATGATTTCATTTTCTCAAAGGCAGTGAGGTTCCCATGCTGGGGTAATTTGGGATGCACGTGTGGATGCATTATCTCCAGGCTGACAACTGGAGTGAGTCTGTATGAAAGAGACATTTGCGTAAGAAAGGGTTGCTGCAGCTCATTGGTAGAGCCCCTCCTTTGCATGTAGAAGGTCCCAGGTTCTGTCCCTGGCATGCCCAGGTAATGCCTGAAATCTTAGCAATTCATTGCTGCAAGGTCTGCATTGACAATATTGGGGCACGTATTTACGCGTTTTTAAAATTTATATACCATCCTTCAGCTAGAAAAGGCTCTCTGGATGGTTCACAGCATAAAAATATACAACAGATAGAATGATAGACAGCAGTATAACAATCAGTAATGTATAAAATAAAAAATAATGCATTAAAATAGCAACTGCAATCAGATAAGTCCAGTGGTATAGCATTTGTACCAGACACAATGCAATATAAAAGATAGGAATAAAAATTTAGCTGTTGAAATATTGGGTAAATAAAAAGGCTTTTTACCTGGCGCTGCAAAGAGTGGGTGCCAAGCACACCTCTTTGGGGTAGGTGGACCAAGGGCCTGACTCTGTATAAGGCAGTCTCATATCCTGGCCCAGGAATGCATGTGGTCCTGCTATTTCCTTTTGAAGGGGAGAGGATGGGAGAAAAAGTGACCCGAAACCTGGCCATATAGTTTGGGGCCACAAGGTGGTAGTGCAGCTGGTAGGACAGCTGCTTCTGGTGGCCCTGCAGAATGCTTCTTAGCTGCTTTTAGAGAGAGGGAAATGGGATCTGGGTAGAAGCCTGGTTGGTTGGCCTGATGCACGTAGGAAAGCAGCTGAGCTGTGCCAGTGGAAGTAGCTCTTCAGTAATGTCCAAGGCATGTGGACACACCCTTGGGGAGCAAGCCAGCTTCCTGCTTGGGAGGGGAGGGGCCTGCTGCTTTCCCTGGTAGGGCTGGGCTGCACCGTTTTATACTTCCAGGCAGGGCAGCCAGCCACTCTGCCTTAAAGGAGCACTCCAGCTGCGCCTTGCCGAAAGCTTCTTCTCACAGGCCCTGTGGCCTGGGAATGGAGGCCACCTCTCCCGTACTTGAGGACTGCATAGCCCTTAAGATCACACAGGAGTGCCCCTCCCCAAACTATATCTTCCTCTGCACCTTTGATGGCTTTAATTCCTGGAAATATTCATGAAGTTTTTACTGCCATTGGTACAAGGAAGGGACTTGGGGCCACTGGTTGCGCAGTGGTGAGTTTGTACTGCACACCACTTGCTCCTAGCAGGCTAGAATATAGCAAGCCACTGAGATCCACCTCTGTTTCACCCCTGGCTACTAAAACCCTTGGATGTAAGACATGCCTGGTGGCTTGCTTAGGTGTCTTGGTTTAGGCCTTAAGTCCTTTCGGGACATGTTGGCTGAGCTATTGCCGTTGAATACTTATCACTAGTGTCAGTGTACATAAGGTAGCTGACAGCAAGTTAGGAAAGCTGTTTCTTTGTTGTGGTTTCTCAGAAATCTCTCTCTTTTCCTCCTCCCTTCCACTTCCCCAAAAAACGCAGAGTGAATAATCTGAGCATATCTCACAGTGCATTTCTTTAGCACTAAACTGTAATACAATGCTGCTGCAGTAAAAATATTAAAATCTTATCTTCACAACAAGGGTGTATCATGTTTGCTTGAGCAAAGTTATTTATAAAAGAGAAGAGGCTGGAAGGTGGGTAAGTGTGTGTATATGTAGCACCCTTGCCAGTCTCACAAAGTAAGTGACTCTTCTCAAGAATAAATAAGGCCATAGAAACTTTGATGAGCTGTCTGATTTTCTAGTGCTCCTAGAACTGGAAGGTACACAGACCACCAGAGCTTTGGACACTAGATCCCAGGATAAGGAACGCATGGTCTTCAAATGTTGCTGAACTACAACACCTATCATCCTTGCCATTGACTGTGCTTGGTGAGCTGATGGGAGTCCAACATCATCTGGAAGGTCACATGTTTCCTTCCTCTAAGCCTTAAACGGATTGGGGAAAGGGCTGCAGCTCAGCGGTGCAGCATAGGGCTTTCATAAAGAAGGTTCTAGGTTGAACTTCTACATCTCCAGGCAGAGAAGGGCATTGCTGTTTCAAACCCTGGGGAACTGTTGCCCATCAGTGGAGACAACACTGAGTCAAATGGACCGATGGTCTGACCCAGTATATTATAGGTACTATGAGCAGAGAATGTGTCTGCTAAAAGCTCACTGGGCTAAACAGAAAGCTTCTGCCTTGTCATCCTAGAAGGCCTGCTGAAGTCAAGTCTTTTTATGGGGATTAGCACAACACCCTGATGCATGTCTCTGGTGTGTGATGTTCGGAGGCAAAGGATCAGAATTCATTTCAGCTTACAGTCAGGCATGGACTCCTCCCTGCCCACTTTATGCTGGGCAAATGACTGTGCATTTTGGCAGCAGTGTAGGTCCAGGAACCAAGCAGTGTAGCTGGTTGTGTGCGTGAGGTGCATTCCAGGTTTCAAGGGTACAGCACTGACTTAGCCCTGCTAGTATCGCCTGGCTTGATTCTAGCCCTTGTCCTGATTGCTGTGTATTTATGGAAAAGGCACATGCGGAGGAGAGGCACAAGAATAAGCACTGAGGGTGGGCTGCTGGGCAGAAAATGGCAGAGGAGAGGGCAGCATCCCTGAAACAGCCTCCTTGCCAAAAACCGGAGCCCCAGGCTCACTGGTCGCCAGCAGCCCAGTGGGGGAGGGGGGAACCCCAAAGCCTCTGCAGTGTCACTGAACCTTCTTCCAAGAGGGCCCCCTGTGTTGAGTTGCTGCTCTGTGGGGCTTTCTCTTTCTAGGCCATAGGGCTGGCCGAGCTGGGCGTGCCTGAAATGGGTTTCTAATGGGAACAAGCTTCCTTAACTATGGTTACTTTTGCTTCCTCATACAATAGCTTCCTATTCATTGTCTTGAGTGCTTGCCACTTTCTCCACCCCCACTCCCCCTCTTCTCTTTTCTCTCCCCTCCATGCCTAGATAGCAGCTGCCTTTAGTGGCCTCCCTCAGCCTTGGGAGCCCACAGTCAGCTGTACCAAGTGCCCTATCAGTCCCTCCCCCAGGCAGATCCGTATTAGCAGCAGCTGCCTGCCTGCCTGCCTGCCTGCCTGCCTGCCTGCCTGCCTGCCTGCCTGCCTGCCTGCCTGCCTGCCTGCCTGCTTTGTGAGCTGTGGGGCTGTTGGCTTGCTTGAGGCAGGGCTTGCTGCGTGGGCTAGCATGCCGGTGATGGACTGCTCGGCTCTTGAGGTGTGAGGGGCAGAAGCTGCCCATGCAGCAAAGGAGTCTCCGCTCCCTCCAGCAGCAGGGGGAAAGGTGCAGGTGCTTGTGCTGCTTTTCTTGAGGATGGAAGTGCTCCAGCAGGGAGCTTCTGCCCCCGCCCCCCAATTCCCTTGGTGATCGTATGCCATGCTGCCCGCTCAAAGCCAAAAGAGGACCAGACTTGAGCAGCTCTCTAATCTCTGTGCAGACAGCGGCCGGCATGGCTGTTCCTCGCTGAACTCTCTGCCAAGGCACTAATGACGTCCTTGTGTATGTGCCCTGCAGACATAAGTCACAGTTGCAGAGATGGCCGAGCAAGAGCCCACCCCTGAACAGCTGGCCCAGATTGCTGCGGAGAATGAGGAGGATGAACACTCGGTCAACTACAAGCCTCCTGCCCAAAAGAGCATCCAGGAGATCCAGGAGCTGGACAAGGATGACGAGAGTCTGCGCAAGTACAAGGAGGCACTGCTGGGAAATGTTGCCATTGCTGCTGGTGAGTGAATTTCTGGAAGGCATATGGACTGGGGTGGGTGGGGAGAGAGAAAGAGAGAGATGGGTGTCCTCTAGTTAATGTTGGACTGCAAGTCCTATCAGCCCCAGCTGGGAACTGTAGCCCAAAACACTGGATGGGCAGCTGGTTGAAGAATGCTGCTATGAAGGAAGTGAAGGTGCAGAAACCTTCGCCATCCCCCAGTAGCTCCCTGGAGACCGGGTCTCTCCTCTTGCATCTGGATGTGCCTGTGGAATGCAGCTGGCCCAGGTGGCATGTCTGGGGCCCTTGGAGAAATTGTGTGGCCTGCATTCTCTGAAAATGGCTTGTCTTGGAGGGAGTGTGGCTGCTGGTGAGAGGCAGACCTTTTATGCTACCTCCTGACAAAGTGACACAGTAGAGTTGGAATGAACTCTGCAAGTAAAACAGATTTGTAACCAGACCTAAAGCAAATGTCACCTTGGATGTGACTTGTTTTTTGCAGACATGTCATCTTGAAAGAGCTGGAAATGATAGGAGAAGCACAGAGCTGCTAGGAGAGAAGAAAGTATAGGGACTGGAGAATCATGAAAGTTAAGAGCTTAAAACAGGAATTGCTAATTTATAAGCCTCTAAATCAGGGGTCTCAACCTCAACTTACGTGGGGGCCGCTGGAAGTAGAGTCTGGGTGAGGCTGGGCCGCATCAAGCAGTGGTGGTGGGCCGCTCATCCCGCGTGGCTCCCGGAGGCCGGCCTGGGTGCCACCGGCGCTTTGAAGGCCGCAGGGCCCCTCCCCCGTGCCCCGCCCGGCCCGGCAAGTGGCCCGCGGGCCGCGAGTTGGAGACCTGCTCTAAATGTAATTGAACTGCAACTTCCATTAGCTCTAGTCAGCATAGCCAGTGGTAAGCGAGGATGGGGCTTTTAGTCCAGCAAAATCTGAAGCACCACAAGTTGTCCTAACCTGATATAAACATTTGTTTGCTCTGAGATCCCTCTGTCATTACTTCAATCTGGAGTTCTGCAAGGTTCAAGAAAGGCAAAGGCGGCCCCCACCCCAGTTCCAGTTGTATTGTTAACATTGCATGTGCCTAGGACAGTACTAATCAGTGGTCCAGCCTTGCAGCTTGACTCTGAAGCCCATGGCTGTTGCTGTCAAAGGATAACCTAAAGGACTGGTCCACTTACTCTCTCTAATATTTCTGCCTTTCAGATCCCACCACCCCAAATGTGGTGGTAACAAAACTAACTCTGGTTTGTGCGACTGCTCCTGGCCCCTTGGAGTTGGACCTGACAGGTAAACAGGGTAAATCACAGCATATGACTTGACCTGTAAAGGTCGCCTGGGCTGGCTCAGTGTTGTTGCCTCGTTATGTTACACCCACACTGGGGACAGCCAGCCACTTTTTTCTCCACTGTGCTAAGTGGGGGACTCATCCTAAGTTTCAGACATGAGGTCGTTTTCAAGTTTGGGAAACCCTTGGAAAATATGGTTCCCTGCAGATTTGTTCTGGGGCTTGATGGTAGGCTTGGCTTGGCTTGGCTTGCCTCACCTCATACAAAGCAGGTTTATGCTAAGGCTGCTTTAAGGGTTGAAATGTAGGACAAACTATTGTTCTTTCAAAGCAATGACAGAGAGTAGCTACATTTCCCCTCAGCTGGCTGCCTGTTGATGGGGGAGCAGTCACTCAAAAGGAGGTGCAACGTGCTGGTAATGCCAGAGGTCCTCACCTGCAGGTCTGAACGATGGGAAGGGTTTGCTGGCTTAAGCTGAACAAGTGTGGGGTAGTCCAGCTGTGGAGACATGCTGTTTGGAGTAAATGAGGTGCTAGAGGTATTGACCAATTGCAGGTTTTGGGCAGACGGCAAATATTTTGGACCAAAGCAAACCCATTCATTTCATTTAGGGTTGCAGTTCTGGCAGAACTGGTTGTGAAAGAGCCCAGTACATACTGCTTTCTGTGGTGGTAGGACTGTGCGCCACACGGCCGTGTCGGAAGCATCCTGGGCTGGCAGCTGCCTCACTGCTGCTCCTCTGTTGCTTGTTGGCAAGGGAGATCTGTGCTTGGGCACTGCTGGTCAAGATGGTGGCGCTTGGATGATCAGGGTAGAGCATGGAGTGCCCCTTCCAGGGAGATTGTGGCCAACCATTGAGGCTAATAATACAGATAGAAGTGAGTTTGCTTTCTTTTGCTTCATATTCTGAGCTGTGAAGCTATCGGTGGCTGCCGCTGCTGTGTATACCAGGGGCTGGGGGACATGAGGGCACCGTTGTGCTCCTGTCCTGCTTGTGGCTTTCCGATGAGCAGCTGGTGGGCCATGGTATGAGCCGAGGGCAGGACCGGGCGGTGTTTTGGGCTAGGCCATCAGTCTTGCAGGAAATGTTTTCCTTCCTCTAAATTCTGCCGCCTCCTTGTCCTCCAGGTGACCTAGAGAGTTTCAAGAAGCAGTCATTTGTGCTCAAGGAAGGTGTGGAGTACCGGATAAAAATCTCTTTTCTGGTAAGATTTCCTCTCGGAGCTGTTCGTGGATGTCTGGTAACTCACCATTACTCTTAAGTTTCAGAGAGCGTGCGTATCGGCTGATGTATTCTCTCTCTATTTAGGTGAACAGGGAGATTGTTTCAGGGCTGAAATACATTCAACACACCTTCAGGAAAGGAGTAAAAAGTAAGTGCAAAGCTTTGCATTGTGGGTTCCACCCTTTTAATCTGCTCTACCTTCGTGGAGTAGGGAAAGGACTCCTAGAAGCTGGCCAAGTGGCCTGCCAGAGGAGCTTTGCCCATACTTGGGGGAAATGGGATCTCCTCAAGAGAACTGGAGCTTGGCCCAGGCACCGATGCAGGGAATGTGTCACCGCCGGTCGGATGCCCTCCCTCAAGGAAGCAGAGCAGCAAACCAGGGTGGCCGCCTCAGGAGGCTTGCTGCTGCGCTTCACCTTGGAGAGCCTCTGTGCAGCTCTGATTTTGGCAGTTTGTGGCTTATGTTTGTTTCTACCCCCCCACCCCCACCTCCCCGTTCCAGTTGATAAGACTGACTACATGGTCGGGAGCTACGGGCCACGTGCCGAGGAGTACGAGTTTCTGACCCCCATGGAGGAGGCCCCCAAGGGTATGCTGGCCCGAGGCAGTTACAATATCCGATCCAGATTTACAGATGACGATAAGACTGACCACCTTTCCTGGGAGTGGAACCTGAACATCAAGAAAGAATGGAAGGATTAAGCCCCTTCCATAGCCAATTCCCAAGAGTTGCTCAGACAGTGGCTACAGTAGAAACCCCACCCTGTACCAAAGTGCTGGCATTGGACACCCTTTCCTTCTTCCTTCCCATTTTTAGCTCACCAAGAAGACCTTCTGGCTCCATTGCCCCTCCAATATGCCCCTCCCCCCAAGAATCAATGAAAGAAATTGACCAAACATGCACTGTCTGTCCCAAGCACAGACACAGAAGTGCTTCCAGTCCTTACTCTGAATGAGAGGCCTGCTATTTGTGGTGCATTCGCATTATTTCAGGCAGGTGACAAAGAGGGAGCGGCCCACCTTCCTGCCTGCCTCCAGAGAAGAGGGTTTGGAGGCATTGCTGTCTCTGGCAAGGGGAAGAGTTGCTGAGAAATCATGGTTCCATGCAGAGCTGGCAACTGCCTGCTGTCCCACTTGTTTCCAGGCCCACTTGTGTTCATGGCCTACCCTTTCTCCTCTGAGGACATGGGGTGGCTCTCCATTTGTGGTGGTTTCCTGTAACCATGATGCCTTAATGTGTGTAACATACATCCTGCAGGGTGGGAGGCCCCCAACCTTATTATCCGTTTTTTATATGCGTCCCTGCCCCATCCACACGCACCCCTCCCTTCTCTGGATCTGCATCTTCTGGCCAGACAACCATCCTGCCGAGGTTACTGCCTCCAAGGGCTCAGGCAGGATTCAGGCTGCTATCTTTGCAGGCCCCCCCAAGGCCAGAAAAAACACTTGCTTCCAGCTGGTGGGGGAGCCTGTGGGTGGGCAGGGAAGTTACTAGTGCCACTGTCACCTCCGTGTTAGTTCTTCGTATCCAAACTGGCTGCAAAGCACTGAAGTCCCTGGGCAGCCTGTGGTTTTCAGGGCCAGAAGATGAATTGGCCTGGCTCAGCTGCTCCTCCTCACCCGATCTGAACAAAAAGCTTGCTATGGACAAATATTCAAGAGCGGAGAATGCCTTATGTATCTCTTCGGCCTTTTCAAATCATGTGCCTGGCCTGTCAGTATTTATTATTGCCTTGATTAGATTCTTTTCCTTCATCATGCCCAAACAGTCCAGCCACCCCAGCAAAGCCCTTCAGGCCTGGCTTTCAGAAGCAGGAGTGGCCTGATTCCCTCTGCTTGCCAGGTGGGCACGTTCTAGCTCAGCAGCCCTGCTCCATGGGCAATTGGGAGTTCCATCGCTGTGCTAGAACTGGGACCAAGTGTGTGTGTGTGTGTGGTTCTCCTTCGTAGCTATGTCTACCCCAACTCCCCTTCTGCGCTCCTTCCCTTAAAGGAGATTTTTGTTAAATTGATTTGAAGCATTTTTGTCTGTACATCTTTAGAGCTGGAGTAACAGATTTGGAATCATCAGCTCCCCCTTTTCTGATGGTAAAATAAAATCATGAAACTGACTGTGGACTTTGCCTCTTCTTTCAGTTCCTTGCAGGCCTGTGTGGAATGGTGGGTGTGGCAGAGGAAATGCTGCTCACGCTCTGTGCGGGGAGAGCAAGAGGTGGCTTGCGGAGTTCACCTTCCACAGCAGGGCAGCTCGGAGTCTTGAGTGGAAGCTGTTTGTAGTATTGCTGCTGCCTTTCCAAACATGTAACCTTGCTGCTTATGCTTCACTTCACATAAGCAACCTGCATGCCATCGTTGCCCTCAGCTGCACTCCCCTTCCCCTTTCTGCTGTCACCTACCACTTTTTAGCATGGGTGACAAGCACGGTGCTTCCTTCACAGTTGTCTTGTAGACATCGCCAATTTCCACTTTACTCTCCTGCAAAGAAGGGGAATGTCACCTGCCAGGCAAAATTGCCTTTTTTAAAGCACGCAGCCATTCAGTGTGTCCAACAATCCACAGATCAGCCTTTGGCAACCTGGGGCCCTCTGTCCTAGGTGCGCTGCAGTTCAACACATCTGGGAGGTACTAGGCTTGGAAAGGCCACCATAGGCGAATCTCTCTGATACCCTTTCCCTAAGCTGACCCTTGCTTCCCTTTCGGATCATGCCTGCTCAGCCTCCTGCTGAGGGGTTGCTCTGTGTTATAACTCCCACAAGGGGACTCCTCAAAGCACCTGCTTAATGCTGGCTGGTCCATGGAGCAGCTGTAGTGCACATGAAGCTGTCATATTCCTGCATCAGGCTGCCAGGGGATACCTGGGAATAGTGCAGTGATTTTCCATACCATGGGAAGTGACCACCATTCAGTTGCTCTGCTCTTCATGGCTGCTGAGAGGATGTTCCGAGCAGTAATGCCAGCTTCGGGTTTGGGTGGGTGGGTGGGCGGGCTCAGATAAAGCGTACGTAGTGGGGCCCTTTTGTCTAGGGAAGGTGGGAGTGTACATACAAGCCATCTAAACCTGCCTCTGAGCTGCTGGAGTGGCCTGTGTAAGGGGAGAACCTGGAGATCTCCTTAACAGCAGGGAGGCAGACAGGCACCAGCATTCCTCTGGGCACCCCCCAAGGTGCTCCAACCTCCCTGCTTCCTCAGGTTAGCATACATTCATACCAGCAGCTGGGATTTCTGTGAAATGGGTTTCTGTTCATGCTGAAAACTCCAAAGGAGTTGCTTTGTGTTTGTGAGCTTGGACTTCACCTCTGCCTTGTACTCCAAACTCTTGGCAGGTGACTTGTTCTTTGCCATGCCTCCTGTAGCAGCCGGTTCACGGTAGTGGCCAGACCATTTTTCTGGTTGCCAAATGTTCCCACAGGCCAAAAATGTTGCCCTCCCTAATCTGTAATGTTTAATGTGCATTGATGCTTTTCACTTCCATGAATGTTGAATGCTGTGGATACAGAGGAGCAGAGGACTGTTTCCATCCTGCTTGAAGGTCGCCCAGAGGTGTTTGAGACAAGGATGCTGAGCTTGTTCTGGTCCAGCAAGGCATATGTCTGGTAGGCTCTCAAACACTTGACCTCACTATCCCACAGTGGCAGCTATGTAGAAGCAGCACACAATTGCAAGCCTACTAGGCAGAATCTGTTCCAATATGCACCAGATGTTCCATAGTTGGTTCTCAGCTATTTTAGTTATGAAAAACAGATCCATGGTGTTCTTAGGGAATCATCCCTCTGGTGGATACGGCTACAAGGGATGATCAAGAACTGAAGGTTGGCCATCCTTCCAGACTAAGAAGCTTGAGCCCCGAAGTCGTGAGAGAGTTCCTCAAAGGAGATACCTGAGGGGTGGTAGTGGAAGGAAAATTCTCTAAAGGGAAGGAAAAGGATGATATCCAATGCAAGGGATGGAGTGATTTTGATGGAGATTTCAGTAGATTTCAATTTAATTGAGCTATTCCTTTGCAAACATTGCAGGTGCCTTGCGTATGAAGAAACAAATTGTATGCAAGAGCTGTATGCATAATAAATTATGCTAATTCTAGTTATATATTTGTGTGTACTTTGTTTTGCGCTAGAGAGGGGTGCAGGGGGCCAGGAACACAGAAAATGCTTGCGTGCAAAGGAGATAGAAGCCTTGATTTTTATTTGTAGATTCTGGCCTTCAGTAGCCAGCTAGTTCTGTAAACTACTGGGCTGTAAATTCTGAGTAAGGTATTTATGAACACAAAATATGAAGTAGATTTACGTAAGACCATGGTTTCCAGTAAGCACAATGGAATGCAGTGTAGATGGTTAAAAGATGCTATATTTAAAGCTGGAATGGTGCCTCTTGTTGTTGAAAAGTAACTGACTGCAAACTGACTGACTGCAAGAGTGTCTGCAAATCTGCCATGCTGTTTTGCTTCTCTTCCACTAGTATTCTTTGTTAACTATTGAGCAGGAGTAGCTTTTCTGGTATCCTGAGCTCTAATTTACTTTGCCCAGAGAGGGGCTGGGGTGGGGGCATGATACATTAAGTGAAAACATACATAATCGGTATCTAAGAATTTCATACATTTGCTACTAGCTACAGTATGCATTCTGAAAGTTCCTTTTTATCGCAGGGAATCTCAACAGCCCTTAGAAGGAGTAAATAATACCTCAGTATCCCTGATTAATTCTGGGTTGCTGCCTACTGCTATAGAGCAATTTACATAGCATGTTTTATAGGAGAGGCATGAAATGCGATTTTCCAGACTTGGCAAGCAGTCTTGGACTATATCTAACAAACCCACCTTTCTAGTTGTTACAGGAGCACCCAAGCTGTTCCAAGAGTGTTCACGCTAGTCAGTCACAGTTCATACTCACATTCTCAGCTTGCATTCTGCAAGCAGGGATGTGCATTCCTGATGGCCGCAGTGTGCTTTTCTCAAAGTAATTCCCTCTAGAGATGAGGAGCTGGCCCTAATTTCTGAACTAGTCAGTCCAGACCTGGCAAGAGCAGTCTGTCCCGTTCTTTCCTGGTGGTGATGGTAGAAGTGATGGCAAGAAGACAGAAGAGGGTGGTCTAACCCACCTTTGGCTCTGCCCGTTCTCGCTCTGGTTGCAGTCCTGACAACCATGCAGCCTGTGGCCCACGATCTCTCTGACCTGAAGGAAATGCACGCCACAGGAAAAAGCTTCCTTCCTCACTGTTGCTCTGGAGGTAAGTTGATTTATAAGGCAAATGTATCAGCTGTTAATTAAACAATTCCAGGAAACAACAACATCTCCTGGACGAGAGATGTACAAATGTCCTGTTTCATGGGGATCTTTGGAAGCCAAGATTTCTTTAGCTACATGAACCCTTGCAATGTGGGCCAAGCCTGGTATCAGACGAAATGAGGTAGCTGCTGGCTTTGTTTGTCACAAAGGGGCAGTGCATTGTGCAACTGATTGATGAATTATGCTCCCCGGAATTAGGGCTTATGGGATGTTCTACCTCGGATGCTGAAACTTCTTGACCAGACTTCCGTACTGGGGCCTTAACTTGATGCTTGGAGTGCCATTGGCTGTTCTGACTCAGGCAACAAGTGAAACACTGGCTGTGACTTCCTTGAACCCCGTTGCTTAACAATGGTCTGGATACTGGGATAAAATCTATCCTTGATGTGGGTGGGGAGACCAGAACTGGAGAGAGGGCAAGATTCTCCGACATGCACTCTGCTTGCAATCTCAATGAATTCCTCAGGAAGCATTCCATTTAAAAGGCACTAAGTACCTGGCTTGAAACAGCAGCCAGTGTTTGGGGCCACGAGTGAAATCTGTGTGTGCATATGGGAAACACAGAGTGCTGCAGTCAGCTGGGCTGTTCTGAGCTTGAAGCCTGCCCTGCTTCACCTGTTGATGTGCTCCGGCCATATGAGAGGGTGGGGCGTGTGCAAACAATGGAAAACAAACACTCCTTCCTGGCCATCTGAAAGCCTGCAGGCGGAGCTGCTTGGATCCCTCAGGGACAACAGCAAAGACTTGATTGGGATCGCTCACACTTCATCTTTAAAAGTAAAAACAAAAGCTGCGTCAAGAATATATAGACTGAATTATACCCAGAAGAAATGTGTTCCCAGATGCTAATGGAATCAGCTTGTTTCACTGTTGCATTGTGGATTGAAAGATCAGAAATGTTTGCTCGAGTTGGAACTACTTGCTGCTCTTGGCTTGCTGCGACAAAGCTCCATCCAGGGAAGACCCCGTGGCTCTCCTTGACAGGTGTAAATTTACCCAGGATGAAAATGGCAATATAAATATTTTACTGCAGTAGACCAGCAGAGGGTGCAGCAGAGGCAGTGCAAATTGCTTCTCCTCAGAAGAAGGGGACCATGTGAGGTGGCTGCTGCTTTCGTGATTTTAAGGCATAGACTAGCTTGGGAGCCTTTGTGTAAGCCTTGCTTCCTAACCTTTGGTCTCCTGGGCAATGAGGAGGTATTTGCATCACTGTGGAAATGCTATTACGCTGGGGAAAAGGGAGAAGTCTGCCGGCTTTTAAGGGGATGGGAAATTTGAAAAAAGAGTACCCCTGTATCCACAGACAGCAAAATGAAATGGGAATCTTTTTTTCCAATATTTTTATTATTTTCTCTACAAATCTAACACTAAAACAACAATTATTCAAGACATTGGACATACTGGGTTGACATCTTATTCTTTTTTACAATCAATAACCATATTCAATTCTACGCATAATCCCATTTCTCTAACTTATAATAGTAAGAGTTCCAAGTTTGGTAGAAGTATGTGTCTTCCTTCTCCTTCAAAGATAAGGTCAATCTGTCCATCTCCGCGCAATCCAAAATCTTTTTTAAAATCAACTCTTCGGTAGGTGGCTCTTCGCTCCTCCATTATTGGGCAAATGCAATCCTCATCGTGGTAATTAAATGTAAAATCAAATATATAGCTTGTTTATCAAGGTCATCAGGAATAATGACTAATAGAAAAACTTCAGGTTTAAATGTTAAAGGTTTTTGCAGCATTTCCTCAAGCCATTTGTGTATTTTAACCCAATATTTTTTGCCTTAACACAAGTCTACCACAAATGAGAAAAAGTACCAGTTTTG